TTTCTTTCCAAAGACAAATATTTCTAGTTTCTCCAGGCTCTCCTTATAGTACTTGGCTACTATTCCTTTAATTATTGTTGTTCATCATAGATATACATGGGAAGAGTTGTGGTAGCAACTGACAGAGAAAATATGATGGGAAGACGAGCATGGTAAATTATAGGAGAAAGTGAATAAGAATCTGGTTCTTGTCTAGTTTTCTGTCTGTCACATACAGAGTTCTATATGGGAGACACTGACCCATCTGCAAATTATATCCTTGCCCTCTTTGGATGATATGTAGGGCCATATAGGCACAAAATTATGGGTGCTTGGGGCTGCTGTTTCCTGTCCTTTAAATATTATTTCTTGATCCAATCACCCTATATGGTTATCAGCCAGTTTCTCACCTATAGTTTCTTGAGAAGGATTTGGAGAAGGCCCTTCAGGGGGTCTTGGAGGTCATCAATTATATGCATCGCTTCAGTTATATTTCAGGCCTGGCATAAGGACTAAGAGTGCATCAATCATTCTTGTAGATGGTCTGTAGCAGGACTAATAGGGTGGTGATGTATCCCTTCTATGGGCATTCAGAACCCATCATTTATGGCTTCCTTGAGCTGTATGCAAGGATTGAGGAGTGAATAGAGTTTTGCAAGTAATTCTACTCTTTCCTGAGCCAGGGGTTCTGATTAGCTATTGGAAGACAAGGTGTTGAACCCATGAGCGCTCTATTGTGGAGTGTCCCAAAGGTTGAATCTCTCTCTGATACAGTTTAACATGTACATGAGATCACTGATTGATGTAATGAAATCATATGTTGCTGATACCGTGCTGTCGCCTCGCCTCCCTGTCCACGGATGGGTGGGCACTATCACTGCCTCGAGCAGCCTCTCCCGGTGGCCCCTTCAGGTTTGGGATGGAGGGACTTGGGAAGAAAGCCAAGCTTGGGGCGGCCCAGCTCTTTTGCTTGGCAGGTGGGCGTGCACCCGTGGCTTGCTTTCCCAGCTCTGCCTACCCCACATGACTGTTGCGCAGCCCTGGTGGGATGAGTGAAGGGCCTGGTGGGGAGGCACTTGCTGCATTGGTGAGAGCTCCGCTGCCGGTCAGGAGGGCCCACCTGTCAGCTGTGCTGGGCGCCCCAGGTGAAACTCTTCGCACTCTGCCCAGTGCCAGGCAGAGATGGCGGCTGGGTGCTTCTCCCGGGGTGGGCCGATCCTGCACTGCGGCCCCAGGAGATTTGCCTCACCATGTGGGGTTGGGCTGACCTCTTGGGCAGTGGAGGCTTTGTCATACCGGTAGTAGGGCATCGTTTTTAAAAGAATTGGCTTTGCCTTCGAAGGTGAAGGGAAGGCGGCGACAGGAGGGCCTGAAGTTGAGTGTCTCCACTGGGTTCCAGTTGCAGGGAGGAGCCCTGGCTGGCTGTGTGTGGCTGCGCCAAACACCGCAGCGTTGTTCTAAATGTCGCGGCAGCATGGGAGAAGGGAAAGCAACGGTTGTGGAAGATCTCCCGATACGAAGTGCTGCACCAACGCTGAGGTCAACATCCAAGCTGCTGCCACCCACCCGAGGATGCAAGGGGGGGAATTAAGTCACTCCCGAAAAGATGGCCTCCGCCTCACCATTTTTTCGGGGGTCAAAAAAGAATAAGGCCTGGCCTTATTTTGTGAGAAACATAGTACGTAGTTTTATATTGATACCATAGGACAAGCAGATATGATTTTTGCCAGGAGGCTGAGAGGCACTAGAAGGGATAAAGTTGATTGAGATGATAGCCAGTAGAATTTGGGGTCAATTCACACTATTTAAGCTTGCCTATAAATCCCTATAAAAATTGGGCCCTTGCCCAATTTTATATACAGGTAGAGGTCTGACAGCCTTATATAAATGAACAGAGGGCATTCTGAGGTTATCCATTGCACACATGTTGAGTGGCAGAAAATGATATTCTCAACAGCTGCTCCTCATTCTGGACCAACATATACCCACCTCTTCATCCTTCAGGGAACTGGTAAAGATTTTCTTCAGGGAACTGGTAAGGATTTTCTTCAGGGCATCCAGATTTTAATTTGGGATAACAATATTTTCTTGCCTTCTCTTTCAGACACTCAAGTGTGTGTGTGTGCGTGTGTGCGTGTGTGTGTTGTGTGTGTGGCGGAGAATAGTATTGTACTCCATATTATATAATTTCTGTTACTGAAAAGAATATCAGAAGAGGGAGAGGGATTTTTAGCACAATAAGGTTTAGATGGAGCTATCTATAACAATTACAGCAAGTCAAAATAATTTGAATTGGATATTACGCTTGATTCAGATAGGGTAGTTTCAAGGTTTATTTTCATTCAAGCAATCCATATCCCTTGTTATGGAATTTCACTGTGAACATTCATTTTAAAAAAGTCAAAACTCTTTCCGAAAGCAATATTTAATGCATCACAAATTATTGTACTGCAGTTAACAGAATTAAAGTGTGGGAAAGGGAAATCTCTCTCTCTCTTTTTTTTATAGCAGAAGCATCTCAAGTAATTACCTTTCTTTCTTTCTTTCTAATCTATCTACAGAGATAAATCACTACGGAAGTTTGTTCAAGGAGTTGTTATTTTTCAGTATGTGGGGGAAGAGTTGCCACAATAATTGAAAACATTGTAACTCTTCAACAAAATGCCCAATGCTAATGATAAACTAAAACACAATTTTACATAAGCCTTTTTTTAAAGTATACGCCATTTCATGGCACAAGCTCTAAACTGCTGTGCAGAGCAAAAAATGACCAGTTTTTTTTCTGGCACATCGTGCTTTCTTACTATTACCCACTGTGCACATACTACCGGCTGCAATTTACAGATGGCTGTCCCTCCAGGTATAGAGTGACCTCTGTCAATATCATCTAAATAGATCTTGGGATTGCTACAATTTCAAATCAGATGAAATGGGCTATCTTGAGCATTTACCCAAGGGAAAATAGCACATTGCAGATTTATTTATTAAAGCTGCAGTGGTTTTGCTAGCATTTGGCTATCAACCGAGCTGATATAGCATAACTGTAGGAAGTTGTGATTTTTCTAAACATTATGGGGAAATGATATTGCCTATTTAGAGATATGCTAATAAAAGTTTAAACTCTGTGACTCTGGTTAAGGGATGAACCTCTTGATGGATACTTGATATTGGGTGTGAACAATATTACTAATAAAAATTTAAATGAATGGAAAATAGTTCAGACATGTCAATCATATGGGAACAGAATGTTAATTTTTAAGCTCCCAGTCTTTTTTTTTTTTTTTTGCAGCTTTTGAGAAATAAATAGCACAGAAAAGTATGGAGGTACTTGAGAATTATATTGAATAAATACAAAATTGGCTGTTACAATCAGTGAGTCCAGATGCCTTCATTTGCAGCACCCACCACAGAAAAGCTGATTTGGATGGATCTTAGCTGATCACTAAAGAAGGTCAAGTAGGATGTCACAAAACCCTGTCAAATCTGATATTACATAAATCACATCTTAGTATAGTTGGTAGAAATTAAAAGACAGAAAAAAAAAACCCAAACCCCTACTTCCCTGTATACACATGTACATCTTGTTTTACAGAATTAAATCGCTTTGCATGCAATATTTTGTAAGCCTTACAAAAATGTATAAAAATAAAATGCCAGTTTTATCTTAAAATCATAGAAAGGGGATGATAGGAAAAAGGAGGGATTGCCTATCAGGATATAAGTAAGATTCCAATTTATTTATGAACTATCCTGCTGAGAAAACTGAGTGTCAGCATACTTAAATATTTGGATTTTAGTTTGCTAAGTCTTTTTAATTCATTAAACAGAGTAAATGACAGAATACGTGGTATGTCTGCTCAAGTGTGAATAAGGGACAATTAAGAACTAAGGCAGAGCTTCCAAATCTTTTCTTCAAATGAAAAATCTGCGACCACAGAACTATTTGTGCTATATATTGTGGTCCATTCTGAACATCTGCTGCTATTTGTAGGAATATGGGATTCATAATTTTTTAGTTCTTTCTATTATTGACAGATTATTGATAGTTATATAATTAACAATATGTTATATCATTGACTCATTTATGTGGGTTAATAAAAACAAAATTTTGGAGATCCACTTCTGGAATCCAATTGGTTCTCTGAAATTACGGTCAACTAGAAATAGAAAGAAAACCAGTGTTTTTATTAAGTTTTACTTTCACTTAAATACAAATAATGGTGTTGTAGGTATTTGGCTCAGGTTAACCAAACTGCTTTTTGGTTATTGCAGTGCTCTAAGAGGGTGGATTGTTTTTAATTCTACATATGATCTAATAAAATGTACACAATCCTATTCTGTTAAAATAAATTATCTGAGGGAATGTCTCTTGCCAGTCACATGTACCCAACCCATTAGAGCAGGGAGGCAGGAAATGTTGCAGGTCCCATCCCTGAGGGAGATACACCTGGTGGGACCCAGAAGAACGGCCTTCTCTGTAGTGGCTCCTTCTCTCTGGAATGTCATTCCCCCAGAGATTAGAACAGCCCCCACTCTAGCACTCTTTCGAAAGGCACTGAAGACCTGGTTTTGCCAATGGGACTGGGGAACCCAGAGTGGAATGGAGCCCATCAAATGGCTAGTGTGATCTGCTATCGTCAGAGTGGAGGGTGGGAGTTAGGGGATGATTTTTTTTATTTTACCAGATTTTGTTTGATTGTACTTTATTAATTTATTTGATTCTTTTGTTAGTTTTTATTGTTTTTTATTTTTTGTTTTAAATATGTTTTTACATTGTGTAAGTCATCTTGAGTTGCCATGGGTGAATATGTGGCAATATCAAATAAATAAATAAATAAACAAACAAATAATAAACAAACAAACAAACAAATAAATAAATAAATTGCTTTTTGAACAACATGTTTTACTTTTAGGCCAAATTCAGGTTCAAGATATGAGAGTTAATAAGAATTACAAAAAAAAAAGCACTATGTAACGATTGTCTTTCTTGACCTTGTCTTCAGAGTTCAAGAAAGCTTTACCGTATCTCCCAATCTGAAATTAATTCCATCCATCTCCACATAGGAGAATGCCTGCATAGTTGTGTCATGATGAAGCTGTTCTTTCACATTGGATGCAGAAAGTCGTGACCAGATCACTGTATAGCCCATAGCATAATTTGAAGTTGGACTGCTGAAAGTACATTTTAGGTAGACCTGGGACCCCAAAAGCTCAGGAACAACAACTGGATGCAAAGCTGGAATCTGGAATTTCTCTAGGTGGGAAGAAAAGACTGTCATACAATGCACAGGAGTTTAAAAAAAAATCAACACAGTTAAAATTATAAACAAGTCAGTACTATAGAACTGAAGAAGACATATAAAGCCTTATGTTTTCTGAATGAAAATTATACATTTATAATATGCTACACTATGAGAACTGAAGAAACTTCCTGAATGAGAAGAAAAAAAAGCATAAAGAAAAACCTGAAGGCCCAGTTGCCTTTAAAATAAAAGCACCTTTAGGACAACCATCCAGATGAATCAGAATTTCTCTAGACGTTTGCACTATGCAACTTTTACAGACAAGTGAAGACTGAATAGTTGCAAGTTGTAACTAAACTGAGTAGATCTAAGCAACAAGGTAGTAAGAAATGATTAGCATTTCCAATGGTTGCAAACAAAAGAGTGGTTTGTTTAGTAATCCTTCAATATCGACAGGGTAGCACTAACAAAATGTCCCTACTCAGTTGAATCACAGTCATATCCTCAAGGGCAGGAGGTCAACATATCTATAGGAGATTCTGAAACTGAAAAAAACTTCTGGCACTTCTAATCATGGGATCCCATCATCAACATTTGAATTATCTTAGCCCAACGATGAAGACTATAATTAAGTAGTACCCCAAAGTTTGATGAACACCCTTTTATAGCCTGTGAATTTTTTTCTGCCACGAGGATTTTGAGATTTCAGAAATATTTATGAATTCTTTACATGTAAAAACAGCAGAGAACAGGGATGTGCTTACAGCTCTCTTGGTCCTGACTAGGTCTTAATTCCCAAACATCAAAGAATCAGAAATCATAATATGTGAAAGTCCTTCAACTATGATAATAACCAAATCTCGAAGGATGGAAAATGAGGAAGAATTTTTTTTTTTTAAAAAAGCCCTTCATCTCCAATCCATTAAAGAAATTTCTGTCCATTCAACTATATGACTAGATATAAAACATGGTGTTATTGGCATTCTTGGTCTTCTTTTTAAAGTATTTATTTACTATCTGTGCTTCAGTATAAAACTATGCGATCAAGCTTAGTTTTCGGGGAGGAAAATAAGAGGGGGGGGAATTGTGCCTCTACCTGCCAGCATCTATCGGTATTTATCTGGCTAGCATCCTGTCAGTGTGTGAGAGAGTTGAGGGCTGTTTGGAAACTGATACAGTATTTGCTGTGTGAGCACGAAGGAGACAGCAAGGAGCCTGGGTGTGGTTTAGCTCAGCTGTTCTGTACTAAAGCTGGTTGCTGCTGTGACACTAAAACTGAAACTCCTCTCCTCTGCTTGTCTTTTGCATTTGGAACAGATTTCTTTTCAGGTGGAGAGGGGGAGTAGAATTCCTTAGCATCAGAGCGTGTTAAATAATAATATACAAAATATTAATGCTCTGGTGGTCATTTGAAAAATCCTTTCTTAGTGAGCATCTAGAAGCCAAGATACATGCCAAATTTCAAGTTTGTAGGCTTTATGGTTCTGGAGATTTTGTGATGATGTGTGAGTGGTATTTCACTTTTATAGAGAGAGATATAGCCCCTTGTTTAGAAAACAACCCTGGGTGACACATCAACAAATTTTAAAATGATCATAAAAACATCCATATCAAACCAAGCAAAAGATATTGCCAGCCAAGTGCATCAATCAATACAGTGCAATGCCCCTTAGAGATAGATTCCACACTCTGGTTTGATGCCCAAATGTACAAACCGATCTCCAGTACCTTACAAATAGCCCTGGCAATAGGTAAACATTGATTGCCAAGTTTGCATATTTGCTACAAATAAGCATAAGAATAAGCATAATAAACCAGTGTTTGTTTGTTTAACTTTTAGTTGCATTCTCATGAACTTTGGATGGGTTTCCTAATTTCCAAAGGTTTCTTTGGAAATATGCAAGAAATCAATCACCAATGTGAGTGTGGAACAATGCATTCATTGGTTCTGTAGATAAAAGATAATTCATATACTGTATGGAGTTCATGTTATTAAATTACCTTGAATGAAGTCTTCTGATTCAGTTCTTTTGGGATCAAAAGAGTTGAGCTGTGATTCTTCAGCAATGAAGGAAATAAATCAATTAACTTGGAATTGTGAAGTGGTGAAGCAAGTGCTAAGAGTTTTCTGATACTTCACTGGACATATTTTGACATATTGATCTAATAGCTTTCATAGTTTTCACGGATTCTCAGGTAAGAAATATGTGCCTCAGCATTTCAGTTTTGAAACGCAGAAGTGGCTTGCTTCTTCTGGAGGTTAGGAAATAAGTCTTTTCAGCATTATATATTTCGTAAACAAACATAACCACTTATGTGCAAATATACACATAACTATGCAAAATCAATCCTATCTATCTATCTATCTATCTATCTATCTATCTATCTATCCATTTATCTATCCCTCCCTCCCTCCATCTTTCAGATATTGGGAGAGGAATGGGACAACTCGCCACTGTCAACTCACCCCAGAACAATTCAACAATTCAATTTAATAATTTATAATAACTCAAAATTATTTTAATTTTTGTAATTTACATCTAATTTTGTTCCTCCTTTTGCATCCTTTCTTTAATGGTTATATTGCACCATTTCTTTGTTATTATGTGGCTCTTGTCCTGCGTAGAATTGGCTGTGGCAAGTTGTCCTGTGGTGACTTGATTACAGTGAGATGTCTTGTGGTGACTTGGCTACAGAGAGTTGGGCATGACAAGTTGGCTGCAGCAAGTTGTCATAGTCTCTATTGAGGGATAGGTCTGGTCTCTATGATTTGTTTATATATATGTGTGTGTGTGTGTGTGTGTGTGTGTGTGTGTGTGTGCGTATCTTTGGTTATTCGGGTTTTCTCCCACGTAAAATTGGAAGTATCTTGGCAATGTTTTGACGAAATCTCATTCGACATCTTCAGGCTTGTGTCTTTGGCTTTGTGCTTCTCAGAGTAATGTGAGCTTGCAGCTGCTTCTTCCTTTTAACTGCTAGTGGTGGGGTGACTTGATTGGGTGGGGGCTTGGCTGTGTTCTGATTGGGTGGAGGTGTGTTCTCATTGGTTGGGGGTTTGGCTGTGTTCTGATTGGTTGGGGGGTTAGCTGTGTTCTGATTGGGTGGGGGTTGTTCTGTTCAGGTGGGGGCTTGGTTGTGCTCAGGTTTGTCTTAGTTGCCAGGGGATTTGAGCTGGTGAGCTGTGATCCTATTGTTTGGCTTCGCATTCATGGTCATGCCACATCTTCATGGTGGGCATCCGTTCACTTCATGTATGGGTTGGAGGGGTTTGAAGCAGGTAGTGATGCAGCTGCGCTACGGCTTCTGGTCTGTGGTTGTGTCTCATCATCTGTGTGGGTGTGAGTCTGCTTTCTATGTGGAAGTGTGGTGGTAGCATCTTGTGTGGCCCTTGTGGATGTGGGTCTGGTGTCATTCTTCATGTTAGGTACTCGTTTGTTAGTGAGGGCGGGTTTCCAAATGGCTGGTAGGCGGGAGGTATCATCTCGTTTATTCATGCTGTGTGGGTGTTTTTCTATCTCTATGGCTTCTCTGATTATTCTGTTGTTGAAGTGTTCAGTTTTGGTGATAGTTCTGGTATTTTTAAAGTCAATCTCATGTCCTGTGGCTTTGAGGTATTGGACCAGGGAAGAGGTTGGTTCTTCTTTTTTGATTGAGTTCTTGTGTTCTTCAATGCGTGCACTTATTCTTCTGTTGATTTGTCCGATGTATGTGGTGGACCAGGCGGTGTATGGGACTTTGTATACTCCTTGGTTTTCTAACTCGATTTTGTCTTTAGGGTTTCTTAGGATGGTGGATATTTTTCTGTTTGTGCAGAATGCTGTCTTAATGTTGTGTTTTTGGAAGATCTTGCTGATTTTGTCTGTAGTGCCTTTTATATATGGGAGGAGGGCTTTGTTCTCTTGTTCTTTGTCTTGGATTTTGGTTGGGGTTTCTTTTTGGATTAGGTGGGTAATCTTCTTTCTTTGGAATCCATTGGCTGTTAGTACATTCGTGAGAGTGTGTAGTTCGGTTTTTAGGTGTTGTTTGTCGGATAAGCATTTTGTTCTGGAGATGAATGTCTCAGCTACGGAATTGATCTGTGCTGGGTGGTGGTGTGAGAGTGCATGTAGATAGCGGTTTGTATGTATTTTCTTCTGGTAGATGGTATGTCCTAGGGAGCCATTGGATTTTTTGTATACTAAGACATCTAGGAAGGGAAGTTGATTGTTAGCTTCTGAAAATTGTATTTTGGGGTGTAGGCTGTTGAGGTGTGTGAGGAAGTTGTTCAGTTTTTCTTTCCCGTGTGGCCAGATTATGAAGCTGTCATCTACGTATCAGAGCCAGAGTTTGGGTTTGTGATCATATTTTTCTAGAGCTTGTGTTTCAAAGTGTTCCATGTAGAGGTTTGCAATGACAGGTGAGAGGGGTGATCCCATGGATGCTCCTTCTATTTGTTTGTATTATTGTCCATTGTAGGTGAAGTATGTATTGGATAGGCAGTGGTTGGTCAAATCTAGGATGTGCTTGGGGGGTGGTGTATTTGTTTTGGATGGCTGTCAAGGCTTCTTTTATAGGCACTTGGGTGAAGAGGGATATGACATCAAAGCTCACTAGTAGGTTGCTGGGCTTTAAGTTTTGTTTCTTTATTATCTCAATGAACTGGAATGAGTTTCTTACGTGTGAGTTGATGGATTCTGCATAGGGCTGTAGTTGTTTGGCAAGAAATTTGGCTAGGTTTTGTAGAGGTGAGCCTATGGAGCTGACTATTGGTTTATATATATATTTGTTTTCGTAGATTTTCATGGGTACAGGTATGTAGGTCGAGGTGTGTTCGGGTCTTTTCCCATGTAAGATTAAGAGTATCTTGGTGACGTTTCGGCGAGGTCCCACTCACCATCCTCAGACTGGTTCTTTTGGCTTTGTGCCAGTGCAAGCAGTGTGTGATCGGAGCTGCTGTCTCTCTATAAATACTGGTGGGAGGGGGCTGATGTGCTGGTCTGGTTGGCTGTGTTGCTGCCTCTTGATTGGTTGATGGAATTGGTGTTGGTATAATGGGCTGTGTGATGGCGTTGTGAGTTTTGTTGTGGAGATATCCTGGATCTTGTGCTTTAATCTCCTAGGTCATATGTGTTTTGATCTCTTTTCCATTAGCCTCCTGTGTTGTAAATTTTTAAAATGTACTATATTTATTTTGTTTCCAGGCCCAATTCAAACGTTTGGTTCTTACTACAAAATTCTAAATTACATCTTCTAATATCAAGAAACTTTATATCAATAAAAATGCAGGAAAGTATTTTGTGTAGCAACATCTCAATTATCTGATAATTTGGATAGAGAGATTAAGCCTGCCCAAGGTCCTTGTAATGCAGACAGTAAAAACATTTTTAAAATTATTTTGTCTTCTAATTATTTTATTAGCTCTACTCTTCTGGAAATTTTAAAGTGTTCTTAGGACATTTTATGTGGCTTTTTTATTATAACCTGTTTTCATATTATCAATACACTTTGGGACTAGAGATAAGATTTAAAACTCAGCTTCTAATATTGAAATTAATAAAGGAATGTTAACATGAAGTTTAATAGTATTGAGATCAGTGAGCTTATTAATGTTAATATTGTGCTTTGCAAAATGTGCTTTGCAAAATGTAAAAACAAAATTTCTTGCCTTCTTATAATATAAAATCTGATGCCGAAAAGTCAGAAAAGGGTAGGAGATAGTCATGCTGCAAAGTCAAGAAGGTGAGTTACAGAAGGCATGGAAGTTAGGAGATTATGCCAAAATCATGACAGAAAAGGGCATTTTTGAGGAGAGAATTGAATTGAAAAAGAAGTGGCAGCACTCAAGTGTTCTAAGAGGCTGTTTCAAGCACAAAGGGCAATCAAGGGAAAAAACGTTATCTGGCAAGAAACTAAATGCATTTATAAATATTATACTCTAACTGTCCACAACAAGAAGGTAGCAGAGATTTACCAATAGAGTGCTTTTGATGATGACTGGATATGGAATAAAAAGCTATCTACCACAACCAGATTTTCTTTGTGTGGATTCCTTGAGATTTAAGTTGCCCTGCAAAATTCACATATTGCTACAGATTCTTCTAAGAAAGGCTTATTTGTATTATTCTGTAGAAGTCACGGATTTTAAATGGTATACTCAGTGAGGAATTGCTATCTGCAATTCCTTTTCTTTCTTAAAAAAAAATAGAATATGTTTTCTGTGCAGGGGTAGAAATTTCTGTTCAAAATAATTTAAAAAAATGTCAGCCAAAAGTTATTATCTTTTGGCCTCCCTTAGAACAGCTTCTAGAGGAACTTGTTCATTTTCAACAGCTATTTCAGTGTTAGACCCCATTTAGTAACAAACACAATACAAAATGTTCAAATACATTATATTTTTTCCCTTTAAGCCAAACGTGGAAACAAAAAAAAATTGTACACAAAGTGTAACTGCAGTAAATTTTCCTTGGTGACACACTGCAGGTTAAAATCTGCCAAAGTTAAAATAACTATTCTATGAAAACATTTTAGGCGGCTGCTGACTTATTACCTGCATGCTATGCATCTTACAAAAAGCAACGCTTGACTTGCTAGGTCACCAAGGTATGTACAGCAATAACAATGTGTAGCAAAAGGAATACATAGAATACAATGTAACCCATAAACGTGGAGTTCATGAAACTCACCTTCTGCACAATAGCCCATGCACCCTTGAGTAGGTTGCAGGAGATAAACAAGGAACTTCCCACAATGTCTAACTGAGATGGGGATTTGGAAGAGGCAACAGTCTTTGGTGCTTCCAGAAAAGAATTGCCAGGTTCCACAGGCAGTCAGTGCCTTTCTCTCTCCAGGACGTGGGAGAGAACCTGATTGAAGGGATAGCCAGATTGGGGCTTGTGTTCCACATTTGTTCATCTGTGGGGGAAAAAATAGATAGTATTTAAAATTCAAGAGTAGAGCACTTAAGCCAGGGGTGTCAAAGTCAAGGCCCATGGGCCAGATCCAGCCCACAGGGTGCTTAGATCTAGCCCATGGGGCCACCCTGGAAACAGCAAAGGACCAGCCCATGGTGCCTCTGAAAATAGACTCCCAATCTGTTTTCGGCTGTGTCGGCCTCCTGCAACTCTCTGCCAGTGAAAAGGGAGCTCAGGAGGGCCACATCCCAAGCTCCATTTTCACTGGCAGCGGGTTACAGGAGGCCATCCAATCTGAAAACAGAGATTGGGAGCCCGTTTTCACTGGCAGAGCACTCAGGCCACCACAGATGCCCGTGACACAAGTGATGTCAAGCTGGCCATGCCCACCCTAGCCACGGCCACCCACCCCCCTGAGGTCAAACACAATCCTGATGCAGTCCTCAATGAAGTTGAGTTTGACACCCCTGACTTAAACAATATATTTCTTCCAATGAGTTGTGGAAGCAGTCAGGACAGAAGGGACTCACTTCTGGTTTGAAGGGCTTTGGCGACAGACAGAAATCCGTGATCGTGTGTGGTTTCTGTCTGGGCTTGCCGCTGGAGTGCCCTGAGCTGGCTGGTTTCGGGGCTAAGCCACCCATAGAGGTGGTGAAGAGGGGGGAGACTGCAGCAGGGTCGAGGAGAGCCACATCTCTCCTCCTCAGCTAGCCATTACTCCCTTTCCCAAAGGCAGTTGCAGCGGTGGTGAGAAATGGCCACCACAAAGAAGAACTCAACTGGAAAAGAATGTGCAGGAGGAAGATAAGAAGTGAAAGTTTTGGCTGACTGGGTTAAATTGTAAAAGCAACAACCAAGATACCCTGGAATTTAAACTTACAAAAAATAACATTGCTCCCAATGAAGAGTTGGAAGCAGCAAAGGAAAGTGAAAAGGGAGAGGTTTGGCTTTTTTCTCTCTTCTCTCTCCTTCCCTATACTGACAACTAAAAGACTTAAATAAGAAATCAGAAAAATCCCCTTTGACATCAATAGGCAATTAAGCTGAAAATAAAACAAAATGCCAAAGGGATAATAAAGATTTCTGGACATTAAAATTTTTCTTTTTCATAAGCAGGAAGGGAGAGAAAAAGAATAAGGGCAGGATCTGGAAGAGGGAGGAGACTGCCTGGAATTAAAAAGAATTTAAAGTAAAACTTCAACAAGACTTCTAAAAGATACATTTTAACTGAAACTTTGCAACTAAATAGTAACCCCAGGAAGAGAAAGTGGGGAAAAAAGAGCAAAAAAGAAACAGCTTGCATGTATTTGGACTATTTGGTGATCTTTGGATTTTTGGTTATTATATTTGAATGACTAAAATCAATCGGGTGGTTGTTTAAAAATTTATACAATGGCACCACTTCTGGATGAATTGAAAATGGAACTGAAAAAGTACAAAGAAGATGCACAAGAAGGGAAGGGTTCTTTTGGCTTCGTTTTTCAATTCTTAGAAATGGAGATTTGGAACTATGAGAAACAACAAGAAAAGACTACAAAACAAGAAGACTGGGACAAAGAAGAAGCCATCTTTAATGAACAAGTAATTCTATGTGGGGAAGAAAAAGGAAAGGGGGGAAAGAGAATGGAGAATTTAAGACTTAAAAAAACAACCAAAGAAAAGAAAAATAATTCAAAAAATAAGTATAATACTGGAATGCAACAGAAAAGGGAAATACAGAAGAGAGAAATAGAGGTAGAGAGACAAGGGGGTAAAAAGGGGAGAGAGAAGAGAGGGAAGAAGGAAAGGAAAAGAAATTTCAAAGGACTGGGGCAAGATATAGAGAAACAGGACCTATTTAGAGATAAAGGGTGAAAATCTAACTGAAAAGGGGATTCTGTAAAGGTACATAAGATTGTATTGTTATATTAGTAATAGAAATAACTTTAGAAAATTGGAAACAACGTATGATTAAAATGAGGGATAAAATAGTTAGTGTAATTTAGTGAAATGTTTGTGAATAAAATAAGTGAAATAAAATAAATGAGAAAATTGAATTAGGAAGGAACGGGAACATTTTAATTAGTTAATGTTTTATAAAATATAAGTGAAGGGGGGGGGGAATTAACTTTGGAAAGCTTATAATTGTTCCCATAGAAGTATGATATTTAATTGAAAGGTAATGTTAAAGATGTTAAGACTTTAATGAATATTAATATTAATGACAGAATTGAATTGGAATGGAATGTTGTTTTAATTATATACATTTATATTTTTTTTCTTTTTTTAAGAATACAGTGTGTATTTTAAGAATGTACCAAGCAGAATCTGAATGAAAGTTATGTATTATATTGAATGTTACAACTTTAGGGAAAAGATATAAAGGCGTCATACTCCAATCAGTAACTACAGGAGAAATTTTGTTTAATGAGAAAAGATAATAGATAATTGAAACAGGATGGACAAAAAATATAAATACAATGATTTGAATTGAGATGAGATAATTAAAATAAAATTGAGAAAATTAAAAGAGGGGAGAAACTATGTAGAAAATGTAAAATAGTAATAAGATATGGAATAGAATATAAAAATGTGCATGAACCTGAATTTGTGTTTGTATGAAGAAATGTAACCCAGGATTATGCTGCTTTCAAAAAAGAGGTTTTATTTGTATTTTTTTTTCTCTTTGTGAAAACTCAAATAAAATTTACAAAAAAAAAAAAAAAAGACAGAAGGGGCTGACCCCCAAATGACATTCTCTCATTAGGTCTGACCTAATTCAGCTTTTATCAGTCAGGTTCTAGCACAAATTGGACTACGGTGCTCTATCTCCAGCAACAACAGAATAGAATTCTGCTTAGGAGCCCAGCTAAGTCAGTTAACGATGAAGGAACTCTTTGTTCCTCAAAGCAAATCATTTCCTCTCTTCAGTAAACTTTACACATGTTCTGAAACAACAGCAACAATATGAAGAAACCTTTAATGCAGAAACACTTTTAAACTGCATAAAGGCACACTTATCAAGTTTGTTCTACATAGCTCTGACATTTCTGACTAGTGCAATATACACTAGCCTTGACTATAACATTACATCTTGACTATAACATTGTTTCAATGTTGTAAAACTGTATTATTTCTTTTAGTGAGCAAATATTACTTATCTTAAATTAGACACTAAAAATTCTGTATATAAAATATCGTAAATGATTCGAGCCATACTCTAGAGACAACACTAAATTAACTTTAAACGCTTTGCGGCTTTTTACCATAATGGAAGATGGTTACTGCTCTAAGTTTTTGCCTGTATTATTTATAGAACACATTTACTCTTATTTTCTGCCTTTTAAAATAGTAATCTAAACCATGATTTTTGTGATCCCAGATTAGACACCTTGTCCTTTATTCATTTAGCTCCTCATCAATACCAGAATCAATGATAAAATATTATAAAATATTAACATGATTTCTCAACAGCAACTTCTCCTGAATCCTTTGGGAAAAACTGATACATTTTTTTCTCAGATAATCACTATTACTGTCTCATTCTCCCTATAAATAGCTATGATTGATATTGGTTAAAGATTCCTGTACATTCTGCCTTATATACTGGAAGTTTCTGTAACAGCTAGAAACTTGCACTATTTGGAAGAAAAGGCTAGGAATCCAATATCAAGATTATGTAAGGTAATAATGCAAATATATATGGAATTTCCTAGCTTTAACCAGGTTAAAGCCTGGTCAACTGAACAATATGACAACTCTGATTGCAGAATATAGAATGCTTCCAATACTAAGAGATTATATAATTTATTTTAGATTATTCATTCTAGATCAGGAGTGTCAAATTCACGGGCCGCAGGTCAGATGCATCACATGCTGGCCATGCCCACCCCTGGTTTAAGTGAAGGGGAAAAAAGTTGTGATACGTCATGTGATGACAACATGTCGTCTCAAGTTTGACATCCCTGTCTTAGATTGTAAATGTTTTTCTTTGTTTGACCTGTTCTCAGAACCCTACCAATTATTATTAATTTGTGTGACCAGGATTGGAAGAGCTATGTTCAAATCTACCCTCAGTTACAGTAGCAGTTTGGGTTGACTCTGGGCTTCATTCTTCGTTCTTTCAGCCCAGCTTATTTCTCAGAATTGTTGCATGAAAAAAAAAAGTGTGCTGTCTTGAGCTCCTGGAGAAAATGTGGGATATACAAGCCATGATTAAGTACCTCTTAGCTTACTATGATATGGGAATCCTACCTCAGTGATGTTTCCTGTCTTCACAAATGACACCTCATTGGAATCGATGCTGCTTTTTGAAAGAAAAATACTCTGATCCTCACTGCACATTTTTACCATGTCTGTTGTACTGCTGTAATCAGTTACACTTGAGCCATTGCTGACTTAGAGGCATTCAGTCTTTGTGAATAATAATCTTACACTGGGAAGGAAGATTCTGTTGTTTGGTGAACATTTTTTCTCAACAGATGTATTGAAAGTTTCAAATGAGCTTGAAAAAAAAATGACTAATGGGCTAAAAAAGAAAAGTAAAAAAAACCTAGCACAAAGTGGGATATATATGGGCTTCTCTCAGCAAAATATACACATGAAAACAGATGTAAGTGGCTCATTTTCAGCTTTCAAAAACCGATGATCAAATATTTCTAGAGTTAACAGTTATCATTGTAAGTGTAGATAAGTAAAATGATGCACAACTACAGTAAAGCCGCTGAATTTGAGTGCTGTGTAACGTTTGAAAAAAATGTAACAGAAGTTATGTATTTTTCTTTTGCACAATTTTGCCAGAGTTCTTAAGGAGTTGCAGCAGCTCTTTTGTAGCATTTGAAAAATGGCTCTTGTATGACAACAGGGTTAGATTGGGGTCTCTTGTAAGTTAGGTTTGCTTCACTGCAGTTCTGTCAGCTAAAGTTTACATGGCATGCCAAGAAAGACACAAATTAGCTCATATACTGGAAGGCTCCCTGAACACCGAGAATAACGAGTTAGGCAAAATTAATATCAAACAATTTGACATGCTAAATTAATTTCTTGTTAAGGCCTTGTTTGAAAAGCAAACTTCTTTGAAGTTGATGTTTATTTTAATCGGAAATGGCAAATTGGGAATGTCATTTAAGATTCACAGAGTATTATTATGGAAGAGTTTAAGGTCATGAAATATTAACCTTCTCACTATGCTTCATCCCTTTGCTCTTGGTGCTGCTGGTATTTAAATATGTCTTTTCTTTTTTGCATTTGTTCATATCAGTATGAGGCTTTTGCTATGATAGCTCCTCCACTCAAAAATCCCTCACCCCTTTCCAGAGGGAACAATGAGATAACCCTGCTGTTGTCTGTGTCAACTGTTTTAATGCAATCCACATAAAATACATTATGTGCCAAAGGATCTTTAGGTGGTTTAAAATACAAACATAATTAATTTAATTTAACAAACCATTCATATAAACATTTTCTAACAAGTTTATACTTCATAATTCTGAGTGGTACAATGATCTATGGAAGGAGGAAAATGTTCCAATCCTTGATTTGATCCAGTATGATCCTTGCGTGCCACCTGATTACTAGTCTTCTTATGCCTGGAAAAACATTGTGTACCTCTGGCCCAGAAAATGATGTATATGTAGTTACAACCAGAGGTGCTCTTCAGCAGGTTTTGACCAGTTCTGGAGAACTGGTAGCAGAAATTTGAGTAGTTCAGAGAGCCAGAAAATACCACCTCTGACTGGCTCCACCCCCATCTATCTTCTACCTCCCGAGTCCCAGCTGATTGGCTGGGTCTTCTTTTGTTGCCCTGCACATGAGAACAGAGCTGGAAAGCAGGTTAGTGGGGTGGGGAAGGAATGGGGATTTTACAGTATCCTTCCCCTGCCATGCCCACCATGCCATGGCCACCATGCCACGCCCACCATGCCATGCCATGCCCATTGAGTCATGCCCACAGAATCGGTAGTAAAAAAAATTGAATCCCACCACTGGTTACAACTATAATTGTGACTAGAATTTCTGTCACTAAGCAATATGGCCTTTAAATAAGTCATGAGAGTCAAAAAAGTAATGATCTTTTTGTTGTTGTTGTTTTCTGTGATAGTTTTTTGTGAATCTGGCTTCACCAGCTGGCTTTACTTACTGGAATCCCTTTAGGAAGGTCATACAGGATTGCAATTGTTGTAAATACATGCTGGTTGCCAAGGGCCTAAATTTTGATTACATGACTGCAAGGATGCTGCAATGATCATAAGTATGATAATCAGATATTAGTCGCTTTTATCAGCATCACTGTAATTGTGAATGAATGGCCATAAACTGAGGATTGCCTGTATGCAGATGATACATAGCTCTGTTTTTATTCAGAAGCACTCTAGGCAGGACTATCTTTGAAGAGAGTTTAGAAACTTGTATTAGTACAGAATATGGCAGCAAGAATACGAAAGCAGAAACATTATTAGCTTTTATTTTGATTTTTACCTTCACTATTTTCCAGGCTGTTGGTTACTGGCTGCTTAGAGACTCAGATATTAAATGTTCTGTTTAAATTAATTGAAAAGTAAACAATATCTCAGACTCAGCATCACATGTCCTGACCATATGATATAGTCATTAATGTATATTTCAATACATTTCATTCATTTAGTTTTCCAGTACATGTTAGTAAAATCATCATCATTATCATTTTAGCCTTTGTCTATCCACTTCAGCATGCTTCCTGAGTTTCCTTTTGCCAATTGTGCCCACAATTCTTGAGGATCTTGTCGATCCATCTTGTTTTAGGTCTCTTTCGTGGACACTTTTTATCAAGTGGGATCCATTCTATGACTTCCTTGGTCCACCTGCCATCAGTTCTTCTTGCTATGTGACCAGCCATTTCCATTTCAATTCCTAATTCATATTAATTCTTATTGAAATATGAGGTTGCAAAGCTTGAAAAGGCTTGAAAAATTATGGCAAATTTAACATTTGGAATAGTTGGATTAATATAATTTAAATGAGATATTATTAACTCTGCTGCATATATTTGGTTCAGCTCTAATGGATTTCTCTTTATTGAGTTAAGTAGCAATTAGCATCTAATTTTTTTTTCTGATAACACATAGACCCTAATGCCATAGCACTGCAAGGTATTTCTGAATGAAGAAAGATTCTTAATAGTAGAAGTGAAAGAATAACTGCTTTCACACTGCCTTCAAAATAGTCACTGAAGAAGTTTTAGTAGATGAATGATATGAAATATTTATAACACAAAACAATCATGAATGCATCAGATAGAGATCACGTATGTGTGATGAGGAAGCAAGCTTGTATACATGTTCTTATAATCAGGGGTGGGATTCAAATTTTTTAACAACTGGTTCTGTGGGCATGGCTTAGGTGGTGGGCGTGGCTCGGTGGTCATGTGACTGGGTGGACATGTCTTGGTGGTCCTGTTATTGGCTGGATGTGGCCAACTCAATATCACTCACATCGAGGCATGCATCTCCTCGCCTGGCCTCTCATGACTGTGGGGATGCTACAACAGTCATAAGTGTGAAGAATGATCATAAGACACTTTTTTCAGTGCCACTGTAACTTTGAATGGTCACTCCACACAAGCAAAGTACCAGCAAAGGAGGGTCAAAAAATTCCAGAGATGTTCCAGAGACAGGAAGTCCAATCCTGCCAAGAATGTAATAAGGGTTAACGGAGAGGCAGTTTCTGTAAGCAACACCAGAATGTTTCCTTCCTGCCTTCCTTACAGGATTAGGCCAGTAATTTCTTCTTACAATGGGTTCTCCGAACTGCTTAGAATGTTAACAACCGGTTCTAGTGAATAGGTGCGAACTGGTAGAATCCCACCCTTGCTTATGATGCATTTGAAATCATATGAAGCTCAGTTCATATATCTGTACATTTGTATATGTAATATTCAAATAAGTGGAAACCCATCTGGATCATGTGGTAGCCTATTATATCTTGTTGCAAAGAATCATAACAGGAATCACACTTAGTAAATAAAGCACTTTTACTCACCAGCAGTGCTTCAGTATACGAACAAAGTGATTTTTTTGTTAATCATAGGGATAACTGATTAACTATACCTTGAATTTTATTAGTCATGCAATATACACACAGTCAACAAATTGATAATGTTAATAGGGCTATTTTGATTTTTTCTAGAAGGAAACTATTACATTAAGTGTTAGATTAGTGTTTACATATTTTAAGGTCACAAGAGCTGCACAGATTATTCTAAATTTGGCGTGACAATTTCAAATGCTCACAGGAAATCATCCTACATTCCAGAATTTTTCTTCAGCTGATATCAAGGAATGTTTGTTATTTATATTTTTAAGTTTATTCAGGAAGTTGTTAGCTCTGTTGAAGGCGGGGGAGGGGAATAAGGCTTTTTGTTTTAGGGATTTTTATTTTCATTGGGATGTCATAGTATTATGATGATGATTGTAATCTTTATAACCCCCAGACTCACTGCTGTGAGATGGCTTTAAAATTGAATATTTTTTAAACATAATCAGGATCATTTACTTTGTGTAAAATTTAGCTCAATTTGTTGAACCTACACAGTTTAAAATTACCACAAAAAGGCCAAGGAATTAAGAACACAAACATGAAAAAAATATTTTAAAGATATGGTTTTTAATTAAAATTGCTTTTTAAATAAGCTTTATTATTTCATTTTTTTAAAATCAGAACTTCTTTATTTCAATTTCAATCCTAGTTCATGTTGTGGTTTAGATGAAGTTTTTTTTTTAGGTGAGGTGGTGCTTTGAATTAGAAAGTTATTATTTCTTTTGAATTACAAAGTTATCTGTAAAAGAAGCAAAGCAATATATTATTTATTTTGAATCAAGAAGCTATACATCAAAGACGTAAAACCTCAAAGGTGCTATAACCTTTAAGTCATTGATCAGAGCTGCTGAAGATTTTCCATCAAGAAAATGCCCAATATATTTTGAATTACCTACTTTCCCAGCGGCAGATAATTCATTATTTAAAAACTTCCGGGCCAAAAAAAAAATGAAAATAAAAAATAGGTTATTGAATTGCTTCACACTTAATCCAACCACATATTTCATATGGCTCAAAACATGTCAGTAACAGGTTTGAGCTATAATACAGTAGAAGTGTTGAACTATTAATAATACTTCAGCCTGTGAAATGAATTCTTTTGAGCTTCAGAAAGCATGAGGTGAATTCATTTGCATATAAAAGAAACAAATTTGATTAGACCTGTATAAGTATATCAAGCTGTTCCCTGGATGAGGAAATTCCTTTGTGCGTCTAATCATACATTGTTCTTTTTTAATGTACTGTACCCATTAATTAAGGTTGAAGTATGCATCTGAGGCAAGATGGTGCCATTCAAGTACTCAAAAAAGCCTTTTCCAGTCTGGTGCCTATCAGTTGTTTGGGTCTGTCACTCCAGAAATTCTAAATATTATAGGAGAGGTTTAAGGGTTCTGGGAGTTGAGAGCACAAAATGTCTAGGGAGAACCTGGGTTTATGAAAGACTTATTGAGAGCGCACATTTCATTCCATTTCATTTTATCTGACTTACTTCTATACACTTGGTTGGCATTTCTGCAGGCTTATTTTCAATCATGAAGCGGTACCACCCTTGTGGAAGTGAATGATCACAAATCATGTCCTGAATGGCTTTTTCCTGCAATTCCAGAGAATCAAAATGGATGCTGCGATAGGCGTGATGGAGAATACGATGTCCTTCTGGAAAGCATTCTGGGGCTAAGGGCAGAAAAGGAAGAAAATAGAAGTATTATAACTGTCAATAAAAGTCAATACATTGTATCTATAACTTTACATTATTAAATCACAGCTCAGTATGAATGAATGTTTGCACAGAGCATTTTGATATCTGTCTGTAGACTATTTCTAGAAGCTAAATGACATGTTACCTTTACTAAGCAGAATGAGCTGAAAATATATTTTTACGTTTTCTCTTATTTCAAAATAGGGATGACTGACAATTTCATTCAGTTTGATTTCCAACTTTCCAATGGGTGTATGTTTCTTCTTCTTTCAGGGACTATAAAAAATAGGTGATTTATTTTCTTTTAATGAATATAGGAATTGAAAAATGAAAGATGAATCCATCTTAACAGCTTGGAAGGCCTGCATCTGGCACTTCAACTGGAGCCACTCTGTAAATGTCTTTGACTTTGTAAAATATTTTTCATTCAGTAGAAAGGAAGATATAAATACTTTTCAAAGGCAAGAAAAATTCTACAAAAATTTCATTTATGTCTTGCCAGGAATTTGAACCTCCATGGTTATTAGGGTTCTTTATGAGTGTGACTCCATTTTCATTGTACAATCATTTCTCAAACTTAATCCAGGTTCCTATGAGGCTGTTCTGCTTGCGGGGCCCATGAGGCATGTCAGCCATCACTTTCTATCAGCTTGTACCAATAAAAAAAAATCTCAAACCACTGAAAAGTTCTAGAAGACAAAGAAAACAAGCAAATATTTTTCACAGGGCAATAAAACTTTGTAAGTGGTAGATTCCAATGGAGTAAGATACTGAAGAACTTGAACTAGGACCACTCTTTGTTACTGTGTGACTTTTGGCCAGTCACTTTCTCTCAACACAGCCTACCTCACAGGACTGTTGTAGTGGTGAAAAATAGGATGGAGTACCACACATAGTGCTGATGCAGAATACATGTTGCCTTTAGCTCCTGAATGAAATGAAACATAAATCTAAAGAATAAATATTAAATCATGTTCATGATGGACTTTTATTCTTCTTTTCCCTTATGGATTCCCAATCTTTCACCATTATATGTTGAAAATAGAAACTTTGATATTGCTGTTATGGATAGATAATAAACATCTTTGCTACCTTTTCCTTTTTTTTAGCTTTGAGGTGTGCTAGATATAATGTAAGAGAAAATACCACTGCCTAAATGAAAGGTATATAAAGGTAATAAATGAATATTAATTCAGTTACGTTCTTGATGGTAAGCAATCTCCTCCTCTTTATCCTCCTCCCTCATTGATTCCTTAAACATTAACCACTGTATTAAACAATATGATATTTTTCATGCTGAGAATGCCTTCTACAATATGCCAAAACAGAAGCAGGAGAATCTCATTGGATCTCTATCTCTCACTCCCCACCTCTCTCTCTCCTGCCCCTTCATATATGGCACTAGATTTACATACATTAGAATAGGGGTGTCAAACTCATGGCAGCATGACAACGTAATGTGATGCATCAGGACTTTTTCCCCTTTCACTAAACCAGGCATGGGCGTGGCCAGTCCGTGATGCATCCAGTGCACAGGCTGGGAGTTTGATAGCCCTGCATTAGAAAGATGCAGCAGATTTTTTTCTGAATCTGAAGGCTGCTCTGTTGTTGTTGTTGTTTTTTAAGAAACATAACTGACACAAGAAGGGCAAGGCTTGTTTCACATAAATTCTGAAAATTTGCTATGGGACTTTTGTTGATCAAAGACAGGTTTAAGAAATGCTGATTTCAGGCATATTTTCTAGAATGCAACATGAATCACACAAGGAGTTTTCTTGATATATATTATATAAAAGAGAAAAGAAAAACGAGCTGCGAAAACAATGCATATGATTAAATGTACATGGCTAATGTGAGATAGAAAGACTAAATCAGGCTTCTGCAGAGAATCATGCTTCTTTAGGGGTCTGCTTATTATAGCATTCAAAAGGGCACAGGAAGATAGAATCCTAGAGCAAACATATAGAGAAATAAAGGATTTCTCTGGTGCCTGAATTAGGTGGAGGCTGAGAATCCACCTAAAATTTAAATTTGGAGTAATCTGTGACACCACAAAACAGAATGCAAGCAGTATTCTCCTAAAGTGATCCAAACCAAATTAGGATCATCTAGGAGATTTCACAAATTATTTAATATTTTTGAACATTGCAAAAAGTGCTACATCTGCTAAAAGCAACATTGACCTTTTTTGCGGGGGGGGGGTTCTTTTTTTTTCTTCAGAAGACTGTCTGTCTATAGTGGAATTTCATCAATCAACAGAGAGGGAAGGAAGGGTGGGTAGTGGAAGCCAGGGTACCAGGGAATTAAAGAACAAGAGAACAGGTGAAGGTCAGATGAAATATAACAGTCCCACAGTAAACCCACAGAACCAATTTTGCCATTCATTTGTGCATTAACCCAATTTACTACTTCTATTGTTTCTCTGATTTTCCTTGTTGCTAGGTGATATTTCTTGATCAGATTTTCTTTGGTCTTTTTGTTTTTCTTTTTTGTCATCTGTTCTAGCTTGTTTGCATCTTATTTTCAAATCTGATTTTCCAATTTGGTGGTGCACTGTTTGCTTTTTTTATTTATTGATTTTGCATCCCAAGTATTCAGCTATAACTGCAGCCATGCTGTGCATTAGTTGATTTGTTATTATTATTATTGTTATTGACTTTTCAGTCAGGTATTCATGAATGTTTTCCATTCAAATACTAACCAGGTCTGGCTTTGCTTGACTTATTGAGATCCAGCCAGGTCTTGTGTGAGGATGGAGATATCTTACTTCTTCATTATCTACAACTGTCTTCTCCAAACTCTTCACATATAATTGAGTACAACTCCCAATGTTTTTAGTCAGAATAATATATTTGGGTGGATCCCCCTTTGAGAATACTGGCTTATTGATCTAAGATACACACACACACACACACACACACACACACAAACACACACTTTCTGAAGATGAGCTCCTGGATGTGAATAACTCTGTAATTTCCTGTTAGCCTTTTTCATTCTTTCATCAAACAATTTAATCAACCCACCTAACTTAAGCCAGCTTTGGTTGTTTTGTTTTTTATTGTTAGATGAACAACAACAATGAGAAAAGAAAACCCTTCAGATGTTTTGGAATTTACTTCTATCTTATGGATCATAAGCTTGTGTAATCATAAAATTCATTTTATGAAATATTAAATAGCTTCCACTCCATGCCATGCTGCCACCATAGAACGTAAGCTTCTGCCAATATTATGCTCCTTCAATGTCAAAATCAAAGAAGAATGCAGTTCATATAGTTCTACTACCATTATAAACTCCCTTCCTCATTCTTATCTAAATGATTTATCATGGCTATGGAAAGTAAAATTAAAAGAGGGAAGGAGTTCCCTTTGACTATGTAATCTATATAAAGTTACTCCTCCCCTTCACCAAGCATCCAGCCAATAGTTGCTCTCTGTCACTTCTGTATAGACTTGGCTGATTTTAAGATGCAAGTAAGTGCAATATTCAAGTTCACATGCACTCTGAAGCATGTTTTGGGAATCAGATCTGAAATACTACACAATCTTAATGTTTCCATAGGAACAACAGGGATTGCTGTTAATTAATAAGGAAATAGATTTCTAGCAGTTTTTCATCATAATAGAGCATGTTCCCTTGTTGCCAACATGATTAGTATGTAACAAACTGTTATGTGTTGAAAGGCTTTACAATTATAATGGTATTACGGAAATGAAAAGGCAGATTAAAACTCTGATTCAAAGCATAAAGACTTGAATAGGGAACCCACTGATGTTTTGCATTAATTCTACCATCAAACCACTTAATCTGGAACATCGTACTACAGACATAGGACTTTGAAGTGTTTTTAATATTACATGGCTTTGAAAATAAAGGTTAATTCAGTAGCATATTATTCTGGATTTGGAAGAAACAAGAGTAATCTTTTTCATTGTTTCTGTGGAACAAATCAGAAAGTACTGCATTATTTAATTGAAGGAAGGTCATCTATCAACTTAGTTTTCTATTAGGTTATAAAAATGCTGCTGTTGCTAAAATGCTGGATAACTGCGCTCTCCATTTAGCTACTGAGAAAATAATTACCTAATAATATATACAAAAAAGTCTTCTATTAAGTTATTAATTTTTTAAAAAACAGAACTAATAAGATTATACAACACCCATAAGAAAACAACTCTTTAATTGAGACTACTCAAAATTATTCCAATGATGTGTAAGATTTCCATTTTTCTGAATTTTTCAAAAGGCAAGTTTGAAAAAAAAGAGAAAAAGAAGTCCAAAAATTAGACAAGATGTTTTAGCCAGATACAATTTAAAATCAGATTAAAATTATGCCATGAATGCAGAAACTTGTGGCAAACATCATTATTCTCAATTTATACTGCATTTAAGGACAAAAAAAGGCTGTTGATATTGTAAATTCAAGTTAAAAAAAATCAAACAACATGTATGAATAGTTGTGAAGTTAACGTTGTATTGGCAATATGTCGCAATAAATAAATAAATAAATTTCAAGGCACAATGTCTCATATGTAGAGAGCAGACAAGCTGAACTGCACTAATTTAGTATAAGTTTTTATTGGCTTCCTAATAATAAATACTCATGTACAGCTGTCATCTGATAAGTCTATCACATTTCTAATAAAAAATGGCCATGTGGTCATTTCTTATAGTACTTAACCAACAAAACTCCTAGCACATTTTAGAATGAGAATTTCTTTTCTGGTTTTATTAGCCTTTGTAGAATTTACTATAGACATCACTATACATTCTAACTTGTCCACACTGGACAAATTTTATTTTTGTTTCCCCACTCCCAGGAAAGGGTTTTTAAATCCTAAATATTTTGCACAGAAACTTTAAATTAATGAAGGTGCCTTTGAAGACTTCTGAGCAATCAATGAGAAGAAAATTATAATTATGGTTATAGATTGGCTTGTTTCCATTTTTGCATCTCTCAGATTGAAGCAAT